GCTGAAACATGAGTCAGAGTGCCTTTCTGATGCGGTAAAACATAATCACATACATGTACAGCTGTGGAACTTGATCGCATGGCAGGATGGCTTCAATCAGAGCTGAAACTTCAAATCGTACCCACAGTTCTCTCCTGCAGCGTGTGCGTGCACCACCACATTTTTATATTTGTGCCGATTTAGCCACTGAATTTGATCTCATGCCTGAAAAATGGACTCAGGTTGTCACAGTGACTGAGAGAATAAGCATCTGCCAGTCCTGCTGTCAACCGAACCGTAAAAAGACCCTCGGGCGGAATCACGCTGATCTCATCTTGACGGATGCAGTGCAAGATCGACTCGAGCTATTATAATGTATTCACACATATGACTCCTTCACCAGGTGCTCTTTTTCATTATTTATAATCTGACAGATGACCACATTCCTTGTCCATTTTTTTTAAACGGTGGTTTTATAGTTTTACAGCCGAAGTGTCTCATTTCTGTACCATTAACTTCACCAAACATAATTTGCAAACATGATTCCTCAAACTGGTATATGAGTTTGTATTGGATTGCTTGATAATAGGCCACACCCATTCTGCATCTCAGACAAACAATCAGGGACCAGTCACACTTACAAAAACATATATTTGTAAATATTTGGTAAATAAAGAATGAGAATAAGAATACAAATACAGCCAGACTACATTATACATTAAATGTGTTAAATATTAAAATAAAATAATAAATAAAATAGTTAAACATGTTAAAGGGGTCATATGATGCGATTTCAATTATGTGGAAAATAATGTGTTTTTTTTTTTTACCTTAAACCGCTTCATTACATTCATTACACCAAATACACAAAATAATGTTCTTTTTAGCAGCATCATATGACCCCTTTAAATATTGTGTTGGGATGCCACTTGATGTCCAATTTATTGTCTATATATTTTGAAACAGTAAATGATAAAATTATTCATAACATAAAATATATGGGAAGCATTTTCTACTGTTGAAATAATGATAATAATAATAATAATAATAATAATAATTATTATTATTATTATTATTATTATTATCATTATTAAAAACTAAACAAAATAAATAATAATTGTATATATTCTAATAAATATTAAGCGTATATGGTTTTTCAAGTATAACTGGTCACTGATTGGTTCATTGAGCTGTAGAGTAGGTGTGGTCTGTTATCAAGCAATCCAATACAAGCTCATAAACATTGCAACTTTGCGACTGCTGTCTGAACACTTTTCCACCATCATTCTGCTTCTTTTCACACTCTACTAATCAAAACCATGTAAACAACCTTTTAAAAGCCTGTTATAAAACCAATATTTCATATATATTTGTTAAAACACAATTGAAATTGTAATTATAAGATGTTAAAAAGCAGATGAGGTTGAAGCACCGCAAACACGCATTGTAACGCGCTTTCCACATCACTGTTTTCATGCCCAAAAGACAGCTGAATTAATGATATTTTCTGTACAGTGTCTGATTCTGAAGTACCTTTTTACTTCTCACCTGTTTTATAAATCAGCATATGATTATATGACATGCATATTTATAAGGAAATAAGTGCTGCACTTGTGCTATTTGCATTTGAGTAAACTATTGTCGAGAGGAGAGAATTATCCCAGATATAGATATTATTATCCCCGAGCTTTTGATTAAACCAATTTTCATGACGCAGCTCATTTATCTCGCCAAACATCACTGCAGAAAAGACAATAGTCAAAGATTTGTTCTCCAGATAAATAAGCAGTTCAGTGTTAGCAGACTTCAGTCACTACATGGAACAGAAAAAAGTCAGTGCATGTGTTCACATATTTCGGTTTCTACTAATCAGTGCTGGGTGGAGCAACTTGCAAAATAGGCTTTCAGTTAACAATGCTTAATTTAAACTAGAAAAAAAAAATCCAAATAATGATTTGCTAAAAATGAGTGTGCTTTCTTTGATTTGGCTGATAATTGAGGTTGAGGCTGCGTGATATATTGTGTATTCATCATATATTTACAATGATTTTGCTGTCATTTCTTTCATTAGGCCATTATGTTCTAGAATAATTAATATTAATAATAATGAATAATATATATACACACACACGTATACACTACCGTTCAAAAGTTTGGGGTCAGTGCGATTTTTTACATTTTTTTTTAAATAATTTTATTAGGCAAGGACACATTTAATTGATCAAAAGAGACAGTAAAACATTTATAATGTTACAAAAGATTTATATTTCAAATAAAAACGTTATATTCATTACACTGAGGACTGGAGTATTTGGGTGGAAAAATAAAACAAAATAAAATAAAATGCGTTTTTATATTTTTTTAAACATTAATTGTCCAATCAGACTTTAAAATCCAAACGTTTTGCCCATATAAAAACCCATATCTACCTCAATATAAGAATCAAACAATCTGTCCATGCATTTGACAGCAAGATTAAACTAATCCACAGAGACTGAAGTACAGCAACAGCAGGTAACTTATGTTTTATATTATGAACATAAGTAATGAGAACTGTATGGCTGTTCAGTCTAATTAATTATTAAAACCATCCAGCAATCTAAAATAATCAACATATTAATAATTAGTAACAGATTACTTCACTCTAAACCTGACTTCTTATGGCCACTTTTCTAATGCACTATAGAAAAGCTGATCTTGAATAGCTGATGTAAAGGCTGTCATTTGAATGTGTTTGTATGACAGCGGTGTGTGGAATATTACTACAGCCCTTCATAATGTACAGACAGCTTTGAATATACAGATCTGTCTGTATGTGTATGGAGGGCTGGAAAATATAGTGTTTGAAAGTGGTTTTATCAGACCTTGGCCGAGTACATGATGCCAGACAGCCAGGTGGAGATATATCAGGGGCGTTTCCTCCGAGGAGGCAAGGGAGGCAGTGTCTCCTCAAAAAATTGGATTAGAAAATAATCGATATTACAAACATACATCGCAAATATTACTAAATATGGCATTAAAAGTCTAAAAGTCACTCGTTTTTATAAAGTAACACTGTCAAACAGCGACACCCGCAGGTAAAGTTACAGCGGAGGCTTGCCTCCCTTCGCTCCATAGACTTTCTACAGAGACCCTAAAGTGTGCTGTGACTTGTCTGGAGGCTCATTGAGATGAATGGGGGAAAGTCACGTGAGAGCAGGCAATGCCTCCGTTGCGCTATAATTGGATATGATCGGTTATGATTGGATGTGATTGGTTTGTGTGATAAATCCCGCCTCTTGTTTTCGTGCGAGCTCTCGGCCTGAATGAAGAAAATGATGGCGTTATTGACTAATTATAAAGTAAGTAAACAACTCTCCCGCTTAGATACCACTACTTTGTATCACGTCAAAATAAAATTTGAAATGGTCTGAAAACGTCAGTTTTTAGTGAGCATTCAGCGTGATGAAATTAAAGATATATCTTTGTGTCTGTTGCAGTGTTTACTGAGCTTTTATGACACTGACCCGAAAATAAGTTGACTAGTAAAAAGAATATGGCGTTATTTTAATGACAAATGTCGAGAGCGCATTATTGTAGCGCGAAAGCACATTAATACAATGCGCAGCGCGGGTTTCCCTTGCTCTCGCGCAAAACCGGACGCTCGCGCTCAGATACACGCTGCTCTCGCCCGGAGAGAGTGCGCGCACTTAAAACGTGTCTCTCTCCGGGCGACAGC